CACACGGGGAGCTTTCGTGATCACACAACCACATGCGGTGACCTCCAAGGGCCTTCAAAAAAGGAATCCTTGATGTCCGAAATTCTAAAGTTGCAAAGGGCCTCTGTCTGTTGCAGCTCGGCTCGGGCAACCATGGCACATTCGCGTTCAATCAGAGCGCGAACCTGCAGCACAGCACTGAGCGGCTTTCCCCAAGTGTGGATCCCGTTGGTCGCCTGTAGCGAGATCTTGCAGGTAGAGAGTGCGAGGCTAATTCACGAAGCACAGATTCCTATACCCAACTGGATGTTGTCTACATCTTGCTGAAGACTTACAACACGGGTTGGGGCAGTCACGCTATGACTGCTTCGGGCTTCTGCAGGAACGCCGGTCCCTAGCTGCAGAAACCCTAGATCCATCCCACAGGCAGCTTTCTGAACGTGAGCAATAGTCTCCACTGCTAAAATGCCATTCATAACCCCTACAGCAGCCCCCTATGTAATCCCCTACATAACTCCCAAGTTAGGGAGTTTAGACTACAGCTCACATGAAGGCATGGGCTCCTCCAAAGCAGATCTCCGACTCCCCTGCCCCCCTAAACCCTGAACCCTGAACCCTACACCCGAAACCCTAAGCCCCAAACCCTAAACCCTAAGCCCCAAACCCTAAGCCCTAAACCCTAAACTTTGCCGTCAGGCCTCTGGCTCGCAGAGCGACGTGTCCAGGTGGCTGAGGCCCCGAACCAGAGCCATTCCTCGCTCCCTGCGGGCAGGGCGAAAAGAACTTCAGGTTTGAGGCTGAATGGCAGGACCCCATATATTGGGGTTATATTAGTGTAATATTAGGGTAATATTAGTGTAATGTCCCCCCTATATTGGGGTTATATTAGTATAATATTAGGGTAATATTAGTGTAATGTTGGGGTGATTTTGGGGCTATGTTGGGGTTGTATAGGGGTATCTAGGGTTTGCGTAGGGATAATGGAATCGAAAATGGAAACTCAGGTATAGGGTATATGGGCATTTATAAGGAGGACCCCCACACCCTATAATAGTGGTATAATAGGAAAACAAGAGCACCCATTATTCCTTATCAGGCCCCTAAACCCTAAACCCGCCAGGAAAGGGGCAGTGAAACTGTGCGGAACAAGATCTCGGTCCCCCACGTTGGAACCAGATACCGCCCTGGCGCTTTTGGCCGCTGGCTTGGGCGCCCTTGCAAGGAGAAATACTCTTACTATAGCATAATATAGTAAACTATACTATACATTAATATACTATGTTGGTTCTGGGCGGGAACATGCCCGCTGCGTTTTCACGAATTTCCAGCACGTGTATACCGCAACTGGCGCAACTCATAGCCAATGAGCCCACATACTATAATATAATGTATTATATAGTATACTATAATATAATATACTAGAATTAAAGTATAGTATATTAACGACTGCATAGCAACAAAAAAAGCCTGCCTCGCTTGCGGTTGAAAGGTCCGGCCTGACACAGATGCACTTCAACTTCGGATGGGTAGATACTTTCATCCAATGACCCGTTGTTAGTATACTATACTATGATTATAGTATACTATACAAAGGTATACTATAAACCCCAAACCCCAATGACCTTGACAGTGGATCTGATTCTAAGTCATCCTGGAGCTCATCAGGACTGTGGTGTTGACTGGCACGAGCTGGGGACATGATTTGAAGCGTGGATACTAGAATTCCACGTGCACAAGAAAGCTTCAACAACTTGAGCTGGCATCCTCAACAGCAGGTCACCCTTGAACCCAAGAAGACCACAGAAAAAAATCCGCGCCTTCATCACCTCAATGGGCTCGCCACTGCCATCACAGAGTTGCACATAGCCCCGGTCCTGCCGTCATGACAAGTACACCCACATGGGCTCGAAGCTTGTAAGCTTTCAAGGCATATGATTTATCCCAACATTAGGGTCCCCTACAAATCCCCAAAAACGTTCAGAGAGTGCTGCTATTGTGGGGACCTCTTGTGATTTACCGATGATTTTGGGATACCCTACGAACAGGAAACAAACCTTCACAATCCCCGCGCTTTTTTGCCCACCTGAATTGTCTGGATGTGCTGTGGAATGGAAGCATCAGTGCCGATGCCATTCCTGGCTGCCACCCAAACAGCACCACAGCATCAGTGCTCATCCCTAAATAGTAGTGTCCACTTTATTTTCCATTATCCCAATATGACCCTAATATTACCCTAATATAACCCAATATGACCCTAATATCACCCTAATATACCCCAATATTACCCCAATATGACAATGGTCCAACTTAAGGTCTGATCTTCTATATAACTCATCGTACATTCTTCCTCGGAGGGCTTTGTATGAGGAAGCCTTTTGCAGCACTTCTGGGCCTCTCCGTACTTGACTAGGGTCCTATTGGGGTAACATTAGGGTAATAGTGGGGTCATATTAGGGTCATATTGGGTTTATAATAGGGTAACATTTAGGGTAATATTGGGGTTATATTAGGGTAGTATTGGGGCTATATTAGGGCAATATGGGGTTACATTAGGGTGATATTGGGGTCATATTGGGGTTATGCTAGGGTCATATTGGGGTTGTATTAGGCTCATATTGGGGTTATGTTAGGGTCATATTGGGGTTACAATAGGGGAATATTAGGGTAATATTAGGGTAACATTAGGGCAATATTGGGGTTATGTTGGGGTTATGTTAGGGTCATATTGGGGTCATATTAGGCTCATATTGGGGTTATAATAAGGTGATATTAGGGTAAATATTAGGGTCAAGATTATCCTTTCGCGGGCATGGGGAGTGTATACTGCCGCAAGCCGCAAGCACCCCTGCACTGCGCAAAACGCAACCATTCAAGCCAATGGAAGTGGATGATTTGCAGTGAGCAGCTCTCATAGCTCTCTGAGCAGCGAGCCTGTCCATCAGGTCCACTAGTTCCGCCTCCGTCAACCTGAACGCGGTTTGAGCCGAAGCTCAATCCCAATATGAGTTTAACAAGCCGAGGAATCACCACCAAAGCTGCATCTAAGCTTCTTGCGGCGATGGCGGCTCAGTCCTGTTCAGGGCCGGGCGTTGCTGGGGCTACCCCGACACAAAGCGCCCAAACACTGCCTGCATGAGACAGCCTGCATACTGAGTTACTATGTCTATGTACTCAGAGCACTTATGCGTTAGCTAAGCGACTGTAGACGAAGCCATCCCGGCGGTCCAAGATTCGCTCAAGCTCCAGTTGCCAATCTCAACATCGCCCTGCAGCTAGGACTCATGGAGTTCTGAAGGGGGGAGGACAAGCTTGCAGGTTTGTCTCCTGCACAAACTCTGCATGTGGTAGTCATACAAAGTGGTATCTTTGTTTCACATACTATCCAAAAACAAACTGCAAACCAGTTACACTCATCAAAGCAGCCACATATCAAAGCAGCGACATGGAGAGCTCTTCAACATTTACGTCCAGGATTCTGGGATTTCCTAGTGAATTCGTTGTGTCGTCTCAGAAGGGTGCTTAGAGCAATGCGGATGACGACACCGCACTTCAAAATCATGCAAGCTGCAAACATTTTCTCTGTAAGCCTCACAGGAAGAAGTAAAAAAACTCTGAGACAATTCTACCATGCACCTCCTTGCAAAAGTAAAACGCAGCGTGCAGAGAAGGCCTTGAAAAGATTAGCTGCCTCACGACCAGCTTACGGATGCATGCCAAGGAGCCGGAACGCATCAACCGCTTCAAATCTTCAGCAAAAAACTTTTGCCAGGCAAGCCATTTGCATTGAGCAGATCCAGACATTCCTTGCTTGCCTCTAACAAGTGATGCGGGAGTTCAGAGGTCTGCATCATCTTTGCACAGAAGCTAAAGCTAACCCGCACGCGGCGAGGAAGTGGCTAGCATGAAGCTGACCATCGTGCGGATCGCAACTGGTACAAATTGACAAGCAAAAGCTGAAAGACAGTGCTACCGAGAAGACAAGTGGGTATGGAGATGGGAAATTTGGCAAGTGCTGCATGCTGAAGAAGAACGAATTGCAAGCACAAACGTAGCAATCAATGATCTCACGACTGAAGGTCAGAAAACACATGGCAACTAGACGATGTAGCTTTTCAGAAGTGACCGAACGTCAGACTGAAACCGTTCATTTTGTCACAGACCCCTGCCCCATCGTGTCTCAGCAATATGCAATATGGAGGTTTCCCAAATTTGGTGGTACCTTTTTGGGGGGGTTCCTGAAATAAGGAGTCAGTACAGTATTGTGGGATGTTTGTTGGAGTCCCCGCATTTAGGGAAACTACCATTTAGCCTGCATTTGTATTTCTGTGTGAAGCTTTCTCGTGTTTAGATGATGGTGATGGCACAACAAATATCTGCCGCACCCGTGACCCCAAGCCAGGAACAATCAATAAGAGTTGTAATTGTTGCAGCAGTGTTACAAGCAACAATACTCCTCCGCCTCCTGTTCCTCCTCCTCCTACTCCTGTGCTGCGCAACCCCTAGTACGACCGCTGGACTAGCATCAAAATGGGTGATAGACCCCGAATCGTGAATGCGAACCCGCAGCTTCGCACCCTGAGCCAAGGCCTGTTCGATCAGCTGGGTCAAGATGTCGAGTCGCTTTGCACTATCCTCTCCAGGCATCCCTATAATTGCTCAAGCTCTTGCACTCGTGACAATGTTGGTATTGGAGCTTTTTTGAACAAGGATCTTATTGCATCTTCTGTGAATGCAGCAAAAAAACTGAAATCATCCAAAAACAGTCTAGATAGCCAGCCTCAAGAGACAACTCATCAATGCGCCACGGCATGACCTGAGAATGCTTCTCTAAGTTTTTCAGTACCTGAAATGCTGGAGGTATTCGTCCAGGACTATCAAGTGTTGTCCCGGCCGCAAGGTTGTACAGTTCGCTTGGGACCGAAATGCTAAATACGTTGGACTCCATCGCACGATTCGCCGCAACTTGGACTGTCTGCCTCCGTGCATGCTGGGACCCTGAGACAGCAACTTGCAACCAGCCACGTTGTTTGGGCAACCTCTGCTGCACACAAACTGAGATGACTCACAGTCTAAACTAGTATCGCCCTTAATAAACCCTGTGGTAGTTCCCTCGAAAATCCCCTATATAACCCACAAATTAAGGAGTGTAGACCATACCTCAGATGTTCTCGTAAAGCTGTAGTGAGGAGGATCGGCCGAAGACAGGGTCACTTCACAGTTTGCCTCCGCAGCACGATGTCGAACTGAAAGTCTCCAATGCGGAAACGAGCCTGACCCGACTTACCTTTGGTTAGCCAGGAATGAAGGAATGGATCCTTTCCGTAGTCATTTTCATTCCCAGCTAACCAAAGGTAAGTCGAGCTTGCAGAAGGGCAACCCGCTTCCACCCACAATGGAGAATGGGAGAAATTATCTTGAATATGACATGGTCAAGTGCTTCTCCGAATAGAGCTCCTACTGAGCTTGGACTTTGCCCTTGCATGATCAAGGTCATCAATCTTGCAAAGATGACTGCTGTGTTCAAGCCTTGGATGCAAAGCGTGTCTCTCATGTGCAGAGCAATTTTGAGCAACGTTGTTTTTCTCATGGTCCTGCGGAGCTTGATGAAGGCTGGTCTGATGCTCGCACGAAGCGTTAAAGTTCGAAAGGCCAGGACACACAGCCTTCCGGCCTCTTGTGGAGCTTCACCACATGACAGGGTGTGTTTAACCCCCGCCCCCCGGCCAAACGCGGCTAAACAACTAGGCTAATCATGCTGTAGCTATGGCGGGCCTGGAGCTGAGCAAGGCAGCAAGGGCACATCTGACAACCGCTGAGTTGCGAGACGTTGTCCTGGCTCGGCTATTTACACGCTGGCATCAAGGCCTCTGCTTCCATGGGATGTTCTCATCGCTGATGGAAGCCTACCCCTGACAAAGCAGGAAAATGGAGATGCTGCGGGGTGTCGAGCAGAACTCAGACACTGTCACGGAGCACCTTTCGCCGATTCATGTGCCTTGAGACCTGCAAGTTCTCTTTAGCTACCGACAAATACAGCTCAAACAAGTAGCAGACTGACAACAAGAATTGACAAAGCAAAGGTGCTTCGTGCACTGATTCTAGGACGACATGGAGCGGCTCATGTGAAAGCACCGCTCTGAAGTGTAGGATCAGTTTAGGACACATCATACTGCGGGAAGCTTTAAACATTTCTCAATTAGATGGCCTAGATGTCCTGTGCAAACCTGTGCAAAAATGTGCGATGCCACGACATGAGCAAAGACAAAGCTCTGCTATCCAAGCATGCGAACGTTGTCCGTTGTCGTGCCCTCAGGCAGCAGCAGAGGACTCGCCCTGCGAGCATTTGATCAGGTCCTTCCTACTTTCAGCGGTCTTCAATGACGATTGCCCGCTTCTTCTAACGTCTGCTCACTCTGACTGATGCGGCACCTTGCTGACCCTGAGGGAGAAAAGAATTACAAAGCTACGGTGACAGCATAGCTGGCGCCTTCTCCGCCCGTGCAGCGGCTGCAGCCACCGCCTGGCTGCCATCGTCCTCATCGTCGTTCATGTCAACAAACTCTTCCTTCGCAGATGGAGGTTCTCAAGAAAGCCTGCTTTCGCAAGTCAAGATGTTGTGGCCTTGCTAGCGCCACACATTGGGCACTTGAACTTGTCATTGAAGAAGGCGCCTTCTCGGCCCCTGCATTCGACACAGCATATGGGCATTTCATCTATTGGGAATTCGCCAAACTCAGCCTTGCGGGGAACAGTGTGTAGCCGCAGCCACTGCACATGAACATGTGCAGCTCCTTCTGCGCCTGCCATGCTGTCTCAGCCTATACGTGAGTCGCATGGAAATGTGTCGCAGCAGCAGGAAGGACCTCACTCTCTTGAACTTCCAGCATTCGGCTGCCCCAAGAAACGCACCTCCTCTGTGCTGGCAATGTACTTGGAGTCCACAGATGCGCTAACCTGCATCGCATAAAAAAAAATCTAAGACTCTTATGAATCTCCGCAGCAAGTATCGCGATGTACATTAGAACCCTTCATACCTCCATAATCACCCATATCCACCCCAGCCCCGCCTGGGCCAGCTTCTCTGTGTTCCCTCTGGTGGTCCAGAGCCGGTACAGCATGGAGGGCAAGGCTAAGCCCAAAGGCACCTGTAAAAATGGGTTAGCGACCAGCAGAATTGCTTAAGAGTCCACATATTTAGTGTTTGGACGCTTTGTGGCAAGAACACAGCCCAAGGACCTTCCACCACTTGCCGGTAAAAATCCAGCTACAGGCGATGGTGCCAGCTATGACGCCAATGAAGGCCACGTTGCGGGCAGCGTCATGTATCTGCCTGAAAGATCGAGTTGGGTAACTGTAATAAAGCTGTGCGGATTCCCCGGAGCGTGGTGCAGCAAAGGTAGTAGCAACGCTAAGCCTACAAGCAACACTCGCTACTAGTAGGAGGTACAACCAACTCAACAAGTATGAATCTCATCATGATCATTAGAATGAGGATCATCAAAGCGGTACGTAGCAGTAGACATGGTAGAAATATCTGCAAACAAGCTATGGCCAAGGTACTGTTTCTTGAAGCCAAGGGCATCAAGCTTTGATGCCTTCATCGCCAAACTTCTAGGCCGAGCTGAGAAGCCCCGGCCAGCCTCAAGAGCTCAGGAACTGCCCGGCACAGAGCTCCAAGCACCCATGTCATTGTTCTGACGACAATAGCTAGCCATCATGAAAATCGAAGGAAGTGCCCACCATAGTAGTGATAATACCTGCAATGCAAATAGAAATCTCACAGCGACACAGAGCACTGACTCTTGCCACTATCCCGAGGCACCTCAGTCCTGCCAACCTGCCGCGCGGGAGCCGCAAAGTCTGTGGCCCTCGGGAGGGCACCCAGCAGGGCGACGGCCAGAAGCGCGCAACGCGCGCAGCGGCCGAGCCGCCTGAAGTTGGAGCTCGAGATGGGAAACGGTTCTGGGTTGTCTTTGGATGTAGAAAGCCTTTCGGGCAAAAAAGGCTCTGGGCAATGCAAGTTGTCCGCACGCCAGATGCGACAGTCCGCACGTGGAATCGATGTTTCTACTTTACTGCAGACCATTCGAAACTCAACAGCTGCAGCACTATGCGAGCCTCCTGGGTGAACTTCTGGAGGTCATGGGAATCAAATGTCCTCGTCCAAAACTGTGCACGCGCACTGTGCTGCCCTGTCTGTGTCTTTCGAGCCAAGGTTTGCAGCGAGTCACGGCTTGCATGCTGGCCCATGCCGCACATAATCCCAATACATAGTATTTTCACGCTGGTTTAGGGTTTAGGGTTTTAGGGTTTAGGGTTTAGGGTTCCATTTGGTGTTCCATCATTGGGGTATATAGTTTCCCTGCACCCCACGTAACCTTCAGTTCTAGTTCTTATAAAACCCTTGTATAACCGGTATACCATCGGGACTTCATTCGTCAATGTGCGCACTTCGCACATGCGGCACCTCCCGTCGCTCCAGCTGCACATCCCCTAGCCACGAAGCCAGGAAGTGTCTGCCTACAAGCAAAGCTGAGAAGGCTTCAAGATGTATGTCAAGAAACCCATCAGTGCATAAAATGCTAGCGTTCCACTGCCATCGAATTGAATGTCTAGGATTGCTGCTCATGCAAAGGCTGCTGCATGCGCAGATGCAGCATCTTCACCTGAAACATTGCCGCAGAACCCTGGGGGCCTTGAAACCACTTCTTGTCGGAACAAAAGAAGCCCACTGAGGAACATGTCTTTGCCAACACTCAACAAAAAAACAAAGAAGAATCAATCACCGCTGATGCAATCTCGCTTGGGACAACTTGACGAAAATAGCGCTTTGAAACAAGCTGAAGGGAACGTGGTCCTTAGCAAAACTCCTCAGGTTCAAACAGAGGAGTCCCGCAGCCCTTAGCCGCATCCCCCTGAAATAGATGCAGGATGGGTTCGAGGCCCCAGCAAATGAAGTCGTAGAGCCTTTTTGCAGCTCCGGAGCGAAGTTCCTCGGAAGCCTCAATGGTTACGAAAACGGCCCTTGCATGGCAGCCAGACCCAGCACGAAGCATGCAAGACCGCGCAAGGACATATAGTGAAAGTACCCATCCCGCACGTGCAAACTTGGTAAGCCCGGCACTGCCACTCTTAGAGGCACAATAGGAGGATGGTCCCCCACATCTCGTGCTCTGTAGCTCTGCGCCTGGACTTCCACTGGCAATTCTCCAAGAGGGTTATATAGGGGTTATATTGGGGTTACAGTACCTAGGGGTTATATTGGGGTTATTTTGGGGTTATATCGCACATCGTATGAAGGTGAGTTTTGAGATCTTGCCTTGCCAGCCAGCGAGCGCCAGGCACCAAGGGCACTTGTCGCTGCGCCTTTGGCTCTCTACAAAGCTGAGGAGCAGTCCAACCAACTGAAGTTACAATGATGTGATCTGGTCTCACATCTAAAATGCGTCCACCCAGCAGGGCGACTAAGGAAGGTCCGCCAAGCCTGAGGTGATATTTAACCCCGAACTGAAGCGTGCGATGTATGAGTGTTTCCCTTAATTAGGGATATCATTTTAGGGTCCCCACAAGAGATCCCCAAATCAGGGAAAAGCACCACAGCCCAACTGCTCGACTGTGAAGCATGCTTGGCCCACATTTCCACAGGCAAACACGGGCAGTTCTCATAATTACCCTTATAGAATCCCTAATAAGGACATCGCATAATCCTCTGAGACTCCCCATGTAGCCCTACAGCCTCCTAGAGCCGCTATGTTGAAAAACTCTCACATTGGTGCTATGCCTTGCGGGCAAGCAGCGTCCAAAGGCTGGGTGCCGGCTCAGCGGGTGGAGAGACGCCTTGCACAGCGCAGATAGTGAATGAACACATCTACTCATCTCATATTGTACCTATGTATCAAAAAATATATTATGTCATATTAAGCAGTCATGTCAAATCTGTACAAGAGGAGCCAGGAATTGTAACATGTGCTAGCCTGTTTCTAAAGCCCCTTCAACGGCTGTTGCGGTACGGGGCCATCGGTCATGTGCCTTGAACCCTACGGCATTTGGAAGGCAATAGCAGCTGCAGTCTGGATCCTTGACTTTGAGACTTTGCTCAAGATGGGTTTTCTGTACATCAGGCTACGATCATAAAAACCCTGAATGTTGAGTTTCCCCTCCAAAGGTCCATCATTGTTGAACACTGCCACATTGCGGAGGACGGCACCTGTGGTCGTGTAATCGGGACCCTCAGGTTTGGACAAAGATCTTGTCCCTCCAGCGTTACCGTGTTAGGAATGGACCCCCAGGTATACAACAGCAGAAAGAGGAACCTGTAGAAGCACTCATGTGAAGCAAGTAGCATTGCCTTCATGCATGTAAGAAAAAAGTGGTTGCCTCCGCGTCGAAGGTTTCGTGGTACCGAGTTGTCTCCTTGCAATCTGGGAAGAGGTTCCAATTGATCGACTCTTAGCAATGCCCATGTGAGCCATTGTCTCAACTCCTAGTATCCCCCTTAGTAACCCCTATAACACGTCCCTATAGAATCCCCTATATAACCCCTTCTAGGAGTTTAGACCACAGCCCATGTGTTTATTAGTTTGAGTCTTTCTTCCTCCGGCCTTGACCCCTGCATGGCGAAATCCCGGGACACACGTCAACCGCGGCACAAAAGCGACATTCAGCTCAGGCACTGTGCGAGGGTACGAGATGATACCCGCAGAGTAGAGGTCCTCTCATCCAATGGGGTTATATGGGGTGGGTTGGGTTTAGGGGTCACATTATATAAGGGTTATATAGAGGTTATATAGGGGCTTTATTGTATAGGTATTATAAATGGGCTTTATTGCATGGGGGTTATATAGGGGTTATATGAGGGTTCTATAGGGTCCAAGCACCCCTGCGAAAATTAGCAACAACACCGGTCGCAACCAGCAAAGCCTACCACCTCCAGAGTACAAAAGAAGACTTCCTTGCTGCTGCAGTGGGAGGAAACGGGAAAAGTGAAGCCAAGCCAAGTACAGTTATTGCCATCACCCTTTCAAAATTTTGTCCAGGACATTACCAGCCAAAACATTCTCGAGAAGGCTTGCTACTGTTTCTGGAACACCTGCCTGACTTCCTGATGCCAGCGCAGTCCCTTCGTAAGACTCATGATCGTCCCATGCCATGGCCCCTTCCTCACCCATTATATAGGTTCCATGTTCTTTTCCATTATCCCTATATAACCCCTGTAATATCCCTATATAATCCCGTAAAACGTGTAATTGATATTGTCCCAAGCCTGTGCATCTGACCCCTTTTTCAGCAACAGCAAACCACTGCAGCAATTGGCCTCAGCTACTTTCATGGCCTGCTTGGGGCCAAGATTCAGCCTGGACGGAAGGCTGCCGAAATGCAGGTCACTGCCGAGCGAGCTACGTAGCATAGACCTCCTTTCCGTACTGGTCACTAGTGGGCATACACCAGTGAATGTCCATCAACGATATCTTAGACTTCCTTCAGGTGATCAAAGGTTCTGGCAATCAAGTTTGTGCAGCTTGCACAGTAGCAAAAGTTGGCCAAAGCAAAGCAGAGAACTTCCTCCAAAAGCTCCTCTTGAGTTACGACTTCCTTACGAGCGCTATGGACATCTGCACTACTCACGACTGGAGACCTCAAGATCTGCCAGCAATTGCCTGCCATACCCAGATGCAGCATCCAGCGTGCAAGCTCTCGTCTCAGAGGCTCCAGCGAAATCCCGTCACAGCAGATGGTTACTCGAACGCCATCATGGCCACATGACGTCAACTAGACTACTCTTCCTGTCGAAAGATAATGGTTCCCTATAGTGGCTCCTCCAGAAACTAAGAAAGCACCAAAGAGCCAACCGATTCTGGGGTGCCCTACGCGTTGCTCGCAGACCGAAGAAGTTGGACGGTATTCAGGCCAGTAGGACGGTGAAGGACCTTGACAAGGCTGGCTGGTTTAGGGTTGAGGGTTTCGGGGTTTAGGTTTCATGTTGGGCCATCGCACAAAATCATCTGCCACATCGCCATCTTCCCACTTCTAGCTGTCTAGCTGTTGAGATTGTTCTGGCTGAGTCATGGCATGGAACTTAGCGCAGGAGCTTAACCCCGAAGCCTGACACCCTAAAGCCAACAAGCCTGAACCCTCAGCCCGGAACCCCAAACATCCTACACCCTGAAGCCCTAGACGCTGCACCATGAACACTGGATTCAGCTTCCACAAGCCGACCTCGACATTGCTGGAACTGGACTCGAGCTTTGCGACCTTGGAAAGCTGTCGATGTTGCCACTGCGGTTTGGGGTTTAGGGTGTGGGGTTTGGGTTTAAGGATTTTGCTTGGCATGCCTCTTTTACGCCTGCATGAGCGTACAGAGCCGGCTTTTGGGTTTAGGGTTTGGATAAGCGGCTCCTGTAGTCGCAAGAGGCATCCTGAACGCTTTCATGGTGATGACGGAGCCATAAAACGACACAAGACATTTATAGCCTATGGAATACTACCAACACTAGCGTAATAAAGAGTTGCTGTGACGACAGCGCAATCGCCAGAGACTTCACAATGAAAGCTTACTAGAAAACGAGAACGCTCGTACCTGCGTTGTTTTCGGACATCTTGCGCCAACTTGATGCTTAAAACTTAGGCATTCCCTAAAGCAGCAACACCCTGCCGCCTTCAAAACAGTGATTGCTCAAGAGGGGAGGGGTGGGGCTCAAGATGTGTCTCCCTGGAACAACTCAAAGTAAAAAAGAGAGAAAAACTCGGGCAGTACGCATAGTGGGAACGCATACGCGCTATCAAAATTGTGCAAGATTTCCATTATCCACAGCAGGTTTTCACTAATATTCTTGTGGCATGCCCTCCTCCCAAAGATATTCAGGAACCAAGCGGTCGGCTGGATTGTTCATCAGCAGCTGCTTCATTGCCCTGACCTGCCAGAACAGGGTGAGCCAGCGTAATACAGAGCCTCGCTAGGTCTCGAGATACAATGCACTGCGAACATTAGCAGCTGGTTCTTGATTACTATTACCATTACTTACTATTGTTACTATTATTACTATCATTTTGATAGGCCTCAAATCCAAACAGCTGGCCTGCTTCTCGTCATCTGTCTGTCCCTCTTTCCAGGCCTCACACCAAAGGAGCACAAAAGCATCCCCAAAAGTCTCTTCATTGCTCTCTGCCATAGCCGAATCCTTGCTCAAGCCGACTGAAATGCACAATAAAAGGAGCAGATCTGAGCTACTTGGTACTTGGTGAAGCTGCAGACTACTAGTGCAGAGGCCCTGACAAACTTCAGTGAGCTACCACGGTGCCGTAGCTCCACCTCGTGCTTACAAGCCACAAGCTGTGAGGCCATGCAGAGGCCTAAACAAAATTCCTCGAAATTTCGCATGCAGAGCCAAATCACTTGTTGAGAATACAAGCTGTGGCATCCGGTGCCTCAGGAGTCCACAGCTTCTGCGGCTGGAAGATTTCAATCTCCTTCTGCCTTTGAACACAGAAACCTCCCACAGGCCATTGGGCTTGCAAAGCCGATCTCAGCAACAACACTCCAGTGTCTCCTGCCTAGCGCAGGCGTCTGGCAAGGTCCGTAAGTGATTGAGCGTGTGACCTTGACAATGTCAAGGGAAGATTGGCTGCAGCTTCTGGACATGCCACATGCAGTCAAAGAGATGTAGGTCTCAGACACCTCTCTTCACAGAACCAAGGCGGGTGTCTCTGAGTTGACCTGAAAATCATTGAAATGCCACCACATGCTACTCCACACTCAGCATCCATCCAAGAGACTTTGTTAGGCAAAGAACACTTGCAATGAGGCCCGGCTCGCTTTTGGAAAAGTGGTTGTGAATGAATGGCTAGATGCAGGGCTTCTTGCGCGTGAGCAAAGTGCTGAAGGAGATGCCGACACGAAGATCCAATTCCTGCATCTTCTACATGCACATGTTCGACCAGGCTCGACCTAGTTCCCATCCTGAGACTTCTAAGAACCTGCCTGCCGTGCGTCGACGCCCTGCGCCACCGCCTTGTCAGGACGGCCCAGCGCGTTGAAGGATGCAGCAACCTGTCAAGAGCTTACAACCAGGTCAAGGTGGCCCTTCGCTTTGTGTGACAACGAAGTCCAAGTGTCCACAAGGTTCTCACTAACTTCCACAAGAACAGCAAGCGCTTCTTTTGCTTTCACGGGGCCCCGTGTGCTATTATGGGATGAGCTAAGAAGCCTCGCAAGCACCAAAACAGGCCTCATGGAATGGAGCCAGGGCCAATCTACCAGAGTATCTCACGGCGCTTCCTTGATGCCATTCTGGCTGTCTCCATTCAGCCAAGATGGCCGCTCCATTCTTTGGGCCAAACGATGGACTTGAGTGCCGTCTGTGCGGCCGCCAACTGTTAAAACACGACTTCTTCAAATCAGGCACATGTCAGCGTGCGCTGTCATAAAGGCCTTTGCGTTGGCATGTTTGCCACGCCAGCCACTTTAGAAATTGTTTGCAGCAGCAAGTTCATGCTTTGCGAATTGGCTAAAACCAGCACCATAGCAGACGACTTCTACAAGCAAAAAGCCAGCCCAATTGCGGCTTCATGAACTTGCTTCTGACTCACGATTCAAACGCTCGTGGACGCTCATAGAAACTATACGAGATCACATCTCTTCACTTGCAAGAAGCATCCACCCTGTCAGGTCAAGGATGCATCTTAGCAGCTTGAGCATAAGCAAAGTACGAACGGCGACATTCGCCACTGCCCCAGCCCTCCTTGCTATGCGGCCAAATGCAACGACACTGTGCTGGGATTGGCTATAATTTGCTTTGTGGAGGCAGAAAACCCAGCCTTAGGCACCCGGGAGCGTTCGAAGCTTTTCTGCTGCCTGGTGGAGTGGCTTTCAAAAGCAATGCCACTTCTAACAGCGACATGTCCTGTTGCATACAAGGAGGAAAGATAGCATGAGTACTAGTACAGGGTGCCTGCTGTGATTTCCACTACTATACTAATGAAATGCTGTAACTACCAATATTATATAAGGGGTTATATTGGGATAATGGAAAAGAAACGGAAACTACTATTGATCATAATAGGGTTTAGGGGCCTAAATCAATTTTTCCAGCAAGCTGGCCCGACTTCAAGGCACCTCAAGCTCTGCTCCCAATTGTTGCGGCTGTGATTTGGTGACCGGCAGAGACTCCTCCTTCCAGGGGCAGCATGAGATGCGGCTCCAAGCATGTATGTTACAACGAAACATAACGCAAAAACACCCAGGCGAAGGCAAAGCAGTGTAAGCCCCAAACCCATGAAAGGAGACCCTTGCCTGCTGGGGATGATGGAAAAGTAGAAACTACGATGGTATATTGGGGATATAATATTGCGATAATGGAAAAGAAAATTGCCATAATGGGTTCACTTGGCATGCCATGGATAATGAACCCTAAACCCTTCACCCTAAACCCTAAACCCTCGTCACACGGCTCCCAACACTGCTTTCCGAAGCTGGCAGGGTTGCCGCGGGCGAGTGCAAAGTCGATGAATTCTTTGAACCTGGAGCCAGCTCTGACTTCATTATGTGAGCTATAGTCTAAACTCCTAGTATCCCCCTTAATATCCCCTATAGTAGTCCCCTATATAATCCCCTATATAACCCCCTTTAAGGAGTTTAGATTATAGCTCATGTCTTCTATCAATTCTATGCTTAGGGCTCAGGGCTTAGGGTCTTCTATCCATTCTACGTTGTACCATGCTCTGCCTGAAAGGGGAGTTTGGGTTTCTGGTCCACAGAGAGGGCGCACAACAGCTGCATGGGGGTATGGGAAAGGCTTACACCCAAGATTATACAGTAGTTGCCATTTTCTTTTCCATTATACAAGCCTTGAAAAAGCCATACATGTAAGTGGAGCTCCAGGGCCCAAGATGCGCTAACCACCTGGCTACGTTGATGGCTCGGCCAGCTTCTCGTTTATGAAGCCCGGACCCCGTTTGATTTACATGCGTGCTTGGGGCCTTTCAGGAGCCACACTTACCAACAAAAAAATGGCTTCAAATTCCTGAATGCTTGCTCATATTCCAAAAAAAGAGAACTGAAAAACTGATACTTGTACACAGGTTCCTGAATAACTCCATTATTTCAGACCACTGCTGGCTCCCTGAAACCACTAGGGTCTCCAGAAATGAGGAGTCCCCTTTGGGAGTCCCTATGGTAAAGATTATAGTATATGGGTGTCTACATTGGGGCCCTGCTTACGTAAATCACCAAATAGCGAGCGGAACAGAGATCTGGTACACTGAGCTCTGCATCAGCCAGATGGTGCTAGAAGACTGCTGGGGCCCCCTGCGTATACGGATAGCCATTGGGATCATTGGGATGTGACCTCCGCTCCATCGCATCAGAGATGTCCTTCATCTCCTCCTCTGCCTTACCGCAGAGCAATTTGGCAGGAGATTCTTCTTGGCTGGAGTGAAGCACCCGGCCTTGAGCTGGAACGGGCCTCCCAAAGGTTGCGGATAGTCCTTGCCAAGCACGAGGCCACCTCACATGTCCGGGCAAGTTTCTCGACCAATCTAGATGGCGTGTTTTGTTCGGAAGATTTCGGAAGGTTATCACCAGCAACGGTCGGTTCTCTGAATTAAGTAGCAGGGCACGACCCCAGGAGCAAGCAGCAAGCAGAGCAAGGGAGAACAACTCTTGTCTAATGGGACTCTTTTCTCAACAATAGACTGGCGCTTTTCCAACTCCCCACCTGTCTCCTCGGAAATCCACTTACCAGCTCACGCAGCTGTGAATCATCTTTACAATCACACAACACCAACTCGAGTGCCAGGGGCAGACCTATGGCTACACACAGAAACTCATGAAACGGTTGGGCGACCAGTTGTGTCCACACTATTCCACACCTGGGCCGAGAATAAAGCTACAGGGCAGGGCAGTCATGCCCTCATCCGCCCCTCTTTTCACATCAGGAGAGGGTGGGCGGGAGTTCGAAGATCCAAACTTCTCGAAATCAAATGTGTGTACCTGAACAAACCCAGTTGTCCTGAGAAGCAACACAATGCACAAGCATGCACAAGCCATGCCGTACACGGACAGGCGCTCAAACTTTACAAGGCAGGCACGCTCGTGATACTGTGTGATAGCCCCAAGCACCTAGCCACACCAACCTTTGCAAGGGAACCAGGCACTAGCACATGGGTTGTTGTCAAAATTATGGGCCCCTTAGGGATATAGACTATATTACGGCACCTAATATTTAGGGGTACCAAAATGGGACCTCCTTTTGGGAACTAGCCACATGTCTTTGCCGCACTCTTCAGCCCCCGGGTCGCTTCTCACTTCCAGCAGCAGAAGCTCCCCGTTGCAACAGCTGTGAGGTTTTTTGCAACAACACCGGCAACATTTACAGAAAAGCTTCTAGCTACAGATGTTACGAGAGACACATGAACCTCTTCTGCTCAAGGATGCAATGGTCCACAAAAATATACAATACCGCGATTCGCATGATTAGAATGACTAGAGCAAGAAGCAAACTCGGCAACTGGATGCAGACAAGCAACATTTGGCCATCTGTTCTTGGGTCATGGTCCAGGGATCATGGATGTGAGCAGCATCGACGTTTGCAAGTTCGGGCACCCAGCGCTTGATGTAGGATCCAGAAGGGTCGTTGGTCCTGGACTCTGAAGCTGTACATACAGGCTATGTCTACGATCACTATTTACCTTATCTGTCAAATGAGCCACCATAGGTGGCAAGTGCTATGCCTTAGTCATTTGTGTTCATCTGCGTTCACAATATATTAACAATTCTGATCTGCAAAGCGTCTTTTCTGCAGTCAACTTCCACTCGAATTCCTCCCGCTTCCAGGCGGCCAGGTCTTCCAACGAAGTGAAGCCATGCGCCCCGCGGTTTTGCTTGTCCACCTCTCCAGATCACGATCCATCCCGCATCTCTTGATCACACATGATATCAAAGGGTGCAATAGCAACAGCAGCAGCAATGATAAGAAGAATAATCAAATTTACAATCTCAACACCACAATAACTAGAGCTTACAAGTAAGCTTGCAAAGCCATTACCAGCCGCCATGAAAGAAGCAGGCAGCAGATGACAAAAGGCGCACTTGGTCTTTGCACATGTGTCGCCTCCGCAACGACCACCCAGTTTCCGTAGTTCATAGCTACATCGTAGTCCAGGAGCACGTCCTCAAAATGGAAAGCACCCACTCGCCAGTCCAATCCCAGGATGAAGACGAAGTAGAAGCCGCTGGTCTTGCGGCCTTGCAGAGGGCATGGCACTAAGCGAGCAAGCACCGCTCTAGGTCTGAGTCAATCTGCTGACCTGCAAACGGTAGGGCCCTCAAATCTCTGGCTCGACAACTTTATAACCATGAAAAATGAACCAAGGCCTTTGTAAGCCAGCCAGCCAGTCTGCTTCAGCTCCCGCATACAAGCGTCAATGTAGGGGACTCCAGTTCTGCCAACCTGCAGACTTCACTCAAGAAACACCATTCCCGGATTCCCGGTATGAGGCCGCTGTGTGCCCAAGCTACCCTCTAGCTGAGGTCAGGAGAGCTTTGCTACCGCGCCTTCCACGCATCTGTCATGGAAGCATCCCACGACCAGGGGCGCTCCACGCGGCCGGGACCCTGTAGCCAAAACAGACGTCGCCCCCACCTGCCCGATGCCAGGAATCACATTGCTTTACCATGTGATCCGGCACCATGACTATTACAGCGAATGCGTGACCTGATCGCGTTCAAACGATGAAGCTCACGCCACAGCAGGCGATGAGCAACACCATTGTAGTTTGCAGATTCTTCAGCTCGAGCCAGAATCTCCTGAAGGATTTCTAGACTCAAAACTTTGCAACGCACCCCTGCCAAAACTTGGCAAAATATCACATCACACGAAATTGCTTCGCAGCGTCTCTGGCTGAGATACAGCCAACTGCCATGTAGTGGGATACCTGAGCGGACGCAGGCGAGGGGCAAGCGCGACACGTCCGCAAACAAGCAGTAACCATCAGCACTAGGTCCTGGGCAACAAGGGGTGACCTACTTTGATGATTTGATCCATTCAAGGCACCCTCAACCATCCGTCGGGGCGGGCCAGGTTGGCCCACTGCAGCGCATCCCGCCCTCCACTAGCCTTGTCCTGTCCACCAGTCGGCAAATCCCAGAAGACGGGAAGTTCCGCAGACGGGGCCTGGCGATGCGGTTAGCGAGCATGTACGACGCAGGTGCTCTGATGCCGGAGGCCTTCTCCTCGCGGTCTTCCCGCAGCCACTTCTCCAGCCAGTCCCGGGCCGATGCCTCGCCGCCCGGTGGCATCTCCTGCGCCATGGCCTCCAAAAGGTTCAGGTTTGGGCTGTACAGGCGAAGGTGTCAGGTTTTAGCTCAGCTTGCTCATAAAAACAGCTTTCAACAAACAGCCTAGCAAGTGTGAACCGATACCCAGAAAGCGGTGAGCCATCAGAGCCTCATCAATCTCGTGGTCATCATAACCCAGAAGTTTCAACGCTTCCTCGGATAGAGGGATCATCAATGCAAGCCTGGTCTTGTGTTTTAAGTCATAATACAATACAAGCTTCACGCTCGTTGGCAAGGACTGCAGGGCTGATGACTCCAGGCAGCTCGTCGGGAAGAACCTCACAGCCACGCAGCTCAAGATGCTCGCGCACTCCCAGCAGAGACAAGACCAAAAAAAACTCAGAAGCTGATGTCCCCTTAGCATGGTGAGGATGAGCAACAGCAGGCTTGGGGAAAACCTGCGGTGCTGCCACAGGGAAGCGGATGGGCGTGGCAGTGGAGGATCTGGTTGGAGAGCGCCAAAGGTCCTTCAACAGTGTTCCACACACCACGTTCTCAGTAATCCTGCGGAAAAGGCAACCCATCCCAACACATGGTGGGCTCCTCCCAGCCCAGTGTGAGTGTGAGCTCTGTGTAGTTGCCCGGTGAGGCTGACAGGCCGAATGGCAAGTCCTGCACTCCAAGGGCATCAGCTGCTACCATCTGCGGCGGTACCTTTAAAGAGTGGATGTGAACGCAGCCAACTCCATGGGGGTGGTCCTGGCAATGGTAGAGGCTCATGGCACCCCACTCGCGCCGCAGCTCGCTGCCGTGGCGTCTGAGAGAGTCGGCCACGGCATCCTCAACGTCGGTCTGTTCGGGAGAGACAGGCTCCTCGGCACTCCGTCATGCCCAGACATCAGAAGGCAGCAAGTCAGCTGAGACACGCTCTGGCAAACCACCAATGACCCCTGTGGCAGCGAGTCCAACACTTGCTCTGGGCGGCCGTGGCAAACCTTGTCAGGTGAAGAAAACAAGCTTGCGAACACTTTGCCGTGCCGAAGGTTCGTGTACAGAGGGCAGCAGCTCCCTTGGCCAATGCAATGAAGAAAAGCGGCCATGAAATTGCCGCCATGTTTAATGATGTCCTCACCCACTGCACGAACGCACTGAAGCCAAAATCGAGCTCGTAGAGCGCACGTCTTGCGGTTGCCAAAATCGACCTAGATGCAGGAACATCAAGCCAGAAATGTAGCAGAGGCAACTTGTCCCATCCAGCTCATATGTCCCACATCATTCCCATTAAGCGGCTGGTTTTCGGGTACCAATGGACTTCTTGAACTCAGGGTCTGTGACGCGACCGTAAGGCGAACCTGGTAATTTTCAGCTTCAGGCTATTTCAGGCTTCCATGCTTGGCCAAGCTGGTCTCCTGTCTCAGCAGCGGGCGGTCAAGAAATCGTGGGTCAAAAACGAAGACTGACAGAAGTGGGCGCCCATCGGTCAGCGCTTCTGCCACTGCTGCCCTGGCGACCGGATTGTCCTCACAAATGGGCACATAAGATCACGGCTAGTACTGTGACAATTCCCGGGTATCCTCCAAGCGCAGGTCGTTCCGCAGCCACCAGACCACCGGGCCCGCAGCCCGGGGTTTCTTCCACGCCGGCGCTAGCGCCATCGGCAGCACTTGTCAATGCTGACAAAACCGCTGTGTCAGCTGCATGGCTTGAGCCAAAAAGCGGCCAAGGTAAGATCTCACTTGACCATACTTGACCTGCGCTGGCTAGAACAGCAGCATGGAATTCCAATTCCACAGCACAAGCAACGCCACTGCCTCCTCTCGTGTGAGGGCGGAGAAAATGGCACGATGGACGTTCCTGGCTTGGCCAGTCTTCAGTCACTCCAGGCACAGCGCATGCTTGGTACTAAACGGTTCGAAATTGACTGCATGGTCAACTTGCAATCAAGCCTGCATCAATGCGTGGATGCTCGCAACGTGTCGGCTCCGCGAGTTGTCGGGAAACCACTCTTTGCAAACAGCAATCACCTGCGCGCTTTCAAACTGCTGCCAAGATGTACGAAGGGCACCCCATTAGGAGCCCAATGTTCACTGTCAACCATCCTTTCCAGCAACTGTCTTGTTAAGGAACCGGATGTTAAGCCAATTTACGGTTTCTACATGCAAACCCTCTGGGATGAGGTTGGGAGAACGTCGTTATAGTTCGTTTAGTAAGCACAACACTGACAGCTCTAGAATTCAAAGCTGCTGGGGCATGAAGAAATCAGAAAAGCTAGCCTCGAAACCAATGTTTTCTCCTTCGCGATCTGCATCCTGCGCTCCGCTAATGGCTATGAAGGCATTCCTGCAGGCAACCTTTTGCAAAAGAAGCCTGGTCTCCATATTTTTGTCTTCAGGAGGTACAACACTGATTCCTGCCATTTGCCTGACTAAGTGACTAGCTCAAGCAGAACAGGGCGTTGAAGTCGATTCAGCTGGAAAGAGTCATTGCATGGAAAAGGAGTCTGACAAACACAACTTGTCGAGTTCTAAGGCCTGAGGGATGCACAAAGGAAACCACAAGCACCCCAAGAAGCAATACCTGTGACAGCAGGCAAAGGCGGTGTGTCCAGCCACAGACATAGCTGCGATGATGCTTGTGCAAGCTCCTGCATATGGCAGGAGAAGACTGCACAACTAGACCTCTCGGTACGAATGCAAAAAGGGCGCAAACTGCACAACATCCTAACCTGGCACACTTAGAAAGCTTTCGCAGCGGAGTAGAGATCATCCTGCAAGTGCTCTGCGACGCGGGCTTTGCGCGCACTGTCGGTGAAGATTTTCACAACGGGCGCCTAACAGAAGTTACGACGTTTGCAGCTCAATGAGGGAATCAGTTTACAGCAGCACAGCTCTGCAAGTAATGCCTCGTAAATCTGGGCAAGCTGTCTCGGAAGCCGGCCATCCTAACTGATTGCTTTCTTTCGTCGCTCGATGCTTGCAGCTCTGCACCCCTAAGCACACTACAAACTCCAGCTGGAAGAGGTGTCCGATGACCTCAAAGCAGGCAGTGCGAAGTTGCGATTGCCTGAAGGAGGCCATCTAGACAAAATGCCAACAGAAACTCACTCAGCATGAACAATGAGATCTGACATCACCTTGTTGTCTTGCCTAAGCAAAATCTTACATGCTCTGTCCAAGCCAAGGCACCGAGGTCACACAAATCACGCTCCGCTGGCCAGAAGGCCTTGGAAAGCATCTTGCGCTAGCACACAACTCCAGTTGGCTCCTCTTTCCATCGCCAAACTAAGCGCATGTCAAATGCGGTGCTTGCAGACCTACCTTGCTGAGCATCCAACGGAAAGTCCGCCACGAATTCCAGAATTGGGCATGCAGAAGACAAGCCCCTGTCAGTGGTGTGAAAAGTCTGAGAAGGGTAAACGTGACACACAGGGAGGAAAGACTTGCGAACGAAAGGAAACAAGCAAAAAGACGTCCTAAAGAGAGAACATAGACACATGGACACCGAGGCACCAAGAAGGGAAAACGGCTGGAAAGAGACAGAGAGAGAGAGAGCTGATCAGGCAGATAAAGAGACGCTGACAAGCCAAAGCAATGATAGATGCACACCTGCAGCCAGAGTAAGCATCAATACCGAATGCGCATGAACAGCAGCGGCTGAGGATAAAAATGCTGCTTCCATATCTCTGCATGATTACAAACGGAAGCAAGAACAGCGCTGCCCGCCTCCGCTCTCGCAGTCTCTCGGACTTCGGGCACAGGAAGTCTGCAATCAGCCGAGCTACGGAAGGCTTCTCCGCAACCATCAGAACCTCACAGGAAAGAAGGGTCCGTGGATGAAGCGGTATGTTCTTGTTGCTAGGTCCTACGGACAGCTGTGATCATGAACTCAGCCTGTGGGAGCCCTTCTCGCCACCGGTTTCTCTGCTGGATCTGCTCAGCATAAACCTGCCGCTGTACATTAGACTGGTCAACTGAGTTGGCGGTTGGCAGTAGTGAAGCCGCAACTCCGGAACAATTCAAACTTCAAGGAGAGTCACGCAGAACATGCAGGATGCGCCTCTGGATGCTTTGCCAGATAGGTGAAGTAAGCTCGGTCGTCCTTGCTATGATCCGAGCAGGTCTCATTTCTACACCATTTTCACTACAACCATTCCGTTTGTGAGCTTTGAGGACATCCCAAAGACTCCACTCCCCTCTGCCCGGGCAAGCAGACTGGCCAAGAGCGCGGCTGCTTTTCGCAACGCCCAAGCCAAGCCAGTTGCATCTGCAATGAGGCAGGATGGGCTTCCTTTGTAAGAGGTTGGAGCCCTGTACCCTGAATTCTGCCTGCTTGGCAAGTCTTATGTCAGTGGTTGTCATTGGCTCTGCTTAGAAAGGGAGGCCTTGGAAGTTTTTAGGGGCAACTGCATTGACCCAGACCTGCAGCTGTCATGGACTAGCTAAGCCTTAGCCACGTCTAAGTAAATCATATAAGGATTCGAGGCCAAATAGCGTTCAGGTGAAGAAACTTCAAGCCAACCTACCAAGCTGGATGCACCGCCCACTGACAAAGCACCAAGTTGGGCTATCATTATTACTATTATTGTTATGATTATTGGCGCTGTTGTTATTCTGACTATTATAGATATTATTGCTATTAGTATGGTTGTTATTCTAGTTATTGTTATTATGACTATTAATATTCATATTATTGTTATTAATATGCTTGATCATATCCTCATGGCTGTCTCGTGGGCCTTTGGCACCCGGCCGTCGATTGACCTGGCGCAGCGCTGCGGCCTCCGAGGATGAAACAGGAAGATTTGGCAGTTCCACTAAATAGGGATAGGGTTTAGTGTTTGGGTTTAGGGTTTAGGGCTTAGGGAATTATAGAGCTTAAATAAGTTATATAAGGTTATATAATAAGGATAATGGAAAAGGAAATGGAAACTACTAGTATTTGGGGATTCTGTAGGGATATTAAAATATGGAAGTTTCCAAATAAGGGACTCCAATGCAGACCCCGAATACTAAAACCCTTAATGTAGGGACCCCAAAAACGGTACCCCTTGTTTTGGGAAACCCTAAACCCTTAACTCTCAACCCTAAACAGAAGCTTCCATTTTCTTTTCCATTATCCCAATAAAAACCCAATACAACCCCAATATTACCCTAATATAAACCCAATATAACCCTTCATGCAGGCAACAGGAGACAAGAGCCCGGCCAGGTGCTCTTCGTCCAGCTCGAGAAGCGTGTTTGCAGCCTGCCTGCACTAGGAGGTTTTATTATGAGATATAAGCATAATGGAGGGATATATAAGGACAATATAAGGTTATATAGGGAAATATGGGGATGATATACTAGACAGACAAAGAAGAGATCTTGAGGAATACAACTGAGGCTCGGACTGCTCATCTTCTGGCGACAGGCCCTACGAAGGGACAAAAACTAGCACAAACTGATTTCCAATGAGTCATCTCTCCCACAAAAAATCCAGTTTTAGGCCATCCCCCTGAAATGAGCTATAGTCTAAACTCCTAAAGTCCCCCTTAATAACCCCGTGAGTTGTCCCCTATACAATCCCCTATATAACCCCCCTTAAGGAATTTAGCCTATAGCTCATATACCTTTGTCATCAAGACGTTTTAGTATCCTAAACCTAAACCCTAAACCTAAACCCTAAACCCAAAACCCAAAACCCTAAACCCTATACCCTAAATCCTAAACCCCTATACCCTAAACCCTAAACCACCGTCTTCAGCTATAGCCTCCCCCGCCTTGCAGGACTGGGCCGCAAGCCACCCAGCAGTCACCTCACCAGGCTTGAATCTCCGTTTTGGGCTCTAAACCCCAAATGGGGGTTTAGGGTTATCTTGGGGTTGTATTGGGATAATGGAAAATAAAATGGAATCTCCGTTTTGGACTCTAAACCAGTTTGGGTTTAGGATTTAGGGTTTAGGATTTAGGGTTTAGGGTTTAGGATGTAGGGTTTAGGGTTTAGGGTTTTGGGTATTGGGTATAGGGTTTAGGGTTTAGGGTTTTGGGTATAGGGTTTAGGGTTTGCTGCAATGTTGCGTAGCAGCAGTGGGTCCTAGATTGTAAGACTCGTTAGCCGTCCTGGTGCTTGCAAATTGCAGCTACGGCCCGATTGTGG